CATCAGAAGGAATCATCAAGTTTAATTCAAATCATCCGTAAATGGCCCAATGTTCCCCTGGGAACGCAATGAAATGAAGTAGAAGATATAATGTAGTACATTATACAGCTAAAAATATGATAAAAAGAGCACTTGGAGAAATCAGAAGTCAACTACAAAGACTCATGGTGGAGAGGTATCCACCATACCTCTTCATCATGAGAAATATTTTAGTATAATGTAGCTTCGTTTTCTGATGATGACTTAAGACTAAAGTCGAGATATCGATGAAATAAAAATTATAATGGGTTATTTTTCTCTTAATTAAATTTTTACCAAAAAAAAAAAACATTGACCAATCATCATGTGAAAATATTGCTTACTTACTTACTTCCTTATTGAAAATGCATAATATATATATTTATATACGATGTCGAGACCGTTGGCTAGGGAAGCGATAAAAGTACTTAGCTATACGTTGATCACCCTAAGCTGGCTGATTTTGTTGATTACGGGACATGGAAAATTCAAATATCACCTCAAAAAGAGTTATCATTTGCAGACTATGCCTAGAAAAACAGCAGACAGCAGTGCATATATTGTGTCAATTTACAGCACTGGCAAGAAGAAGAATGATTGTCTTGGGACACCATTAGAATTGTGATGACTTGGCAGGCAGTCTCAAGCCAAATGAGCTAATTGCAGTTAGGTTCGGAAGACGCGTGCTGACCGTTGTCAGCACTTCCACTCGGAGACATATATTGCTCATTGTGATGCCCTCAAAAATTTTGCCCGGAAATCATCAATATACTCGTAATAGAAAGTTTTAAAGCTACAGATCTATTGTCGGTACTTCAAATGTTATAAATGCTAGTGTGCTACACCAACTTATATCTAATTAAATACATTCTTATTAAGTTATTGAGGGAATAAGTCATTTGCCACCGTACCGAGAAATCGGAAAAAAGGTGTCGAGCATAACGAAATATTTACGGTTTATAAGCTTACTATATGAAACTAGTTTGCACTTTCCATATACAAAAATGTTTTAATTGACAAAGACAAAGAAAGACAAGCACTATGAGTCGCGCTGTATGGGTGTTAAAGCGGGTATTTTCCCGATAATAAATTATTGTACCAAAATTTCGTTTTTCGTGAAGATGATTTAAAGTATTAAAGAAAACTTTAAACTACAATCTTTTAACATACACAATATAGTCATAAGCACATAAAGTTCTGTTTACTATGAAGGAAATTTAAAACAGAATTATTCTGCAACAAAGTAACCTTATCCAAGAAATAAATTTTTAAAAACAGAAAATTTCAAATTTATTTCTTACAAAAATTTATTTCTGATAACTAATACACAAATTTTCTTTCTATTTCTTCAATTTTAAGTTTTTTGGCTCTTTTTTCAAAATTTCAGTATAAACTTAATTTTATTGTAGAACAAAATTTTTAAATAGGCAATAATGAGTACCGAACAAACAGTGTCTAAAAAGTACAACCACAATCTACCTTATCGCAAAGGTAGGCCTAAATGTTTTTCAATTAAATAAACATTCTAAAATATTATTCATTTTATTCATAGTAAATCAATACCCGGAGAGTGCACATCTTGTCTCCCAACGTCAGAGAACAACAGAACAACAGGGTGAGTTTTTATACTACTTAAATATAGTACAGGAACTAACTTAGATCTTCTAGACATACCAACTCAACTGACAAGACACATAAAATGTTCTGAATACGTTAGTCACGTAAACAGTGATAGATGTTCTGAAATGGAGCAGAGTATTGGAAACACTATTATTTCACCTTCAATCACTTGCATTAAAAGAGGAAGAGTGAAAGAACTTCTGGAAAAATTTGAAAAAGCCAATTCACAAGAGTCAACAATAAATATTAGGCCCAATGCACAAGTCAGTGTTCATAGTAAATCAATACCCGGAGAGTGCACATCTTGTCTCCCAACATCAGAGAACAACAGAACAACAGGGTGAGTTTTTATACTACTTAAATATAGTACAGGAACTAACTTAGATCTTCTAGACACACCAACTCAACTGACAAAGCACATAAAAAGTTCTGAGTATATTAGTCAAGTTAACAGTGATAGGTGTTCTGAAATGAAGCAGAGTAATGGAAACACTACTATTTCACCTTCAATCACTTGCATTAAAAGAGGAAGAGTGAAAGAACTTCTGGAAAAATTTGAAAAAGCCAATTCACAAGAGTCAACAATAAATATTAGGCCCAATGCACAAGTCAGTGTTCAAGAGTCTACAATAAATGCTGACAAATGAAACCTAAAATATCATGGCAGTTCAAAAGAGGACATAATGCCATGCATGGGTTGCAACAAGGAATTCAACAACCCGAACGCTTTCAACAGTGAGCAGTGTATAGTTAATTCAGAAACTGGGTCTAATTGTGACAGTTATTCGGATTCGAATCTCATCACCAGGGAACAATTATTAGCTTTGACTGAAGAAAAGAAAAGAGAAATAAACAGTTTCAAAAAGAGATGCTAGAGTTGGTGCTAGTGTTGTTACTTTGGATTTAAATACTGTTGTACCATTTGAATTGCTTAAAATTTGTTCTAAAATTAAAGAAAATAAACTTGATTGGAAGGCTGATGTCTACTAATAGTTTTCTATCTTTACTATAGATCTCAACCCTATTGGCATAATAATTAATATTAAGCAAAGTAACCTAAATTATATGACACCAAATTTTTAATGCAATAATTTATTATGCATAATGCTAGTACTATTCTAATATATTCAATATATTTTCATTTTAATTCGAATTTTATTTTGATTTTCAATAAATCTAAAAAGAGAAACACACAGGCTATAGACAAATCGAGCAAACGAAACATAAAATACACAGAAACTTCTTCCGGTTTCTATCAAATGATTAAAAACTCGAAAATTTTCATTCTAACGTATTTTGATCAGAATAATGTATTTGTAATTAATTAATCTTTAATTACTACACTAACATAAATAAGCATAATGGATAAGATGCATGGATCAGATTTCCAAAACAGATCCAACTGATCCAACTGAAGAATCTTCTTGTATTAGAAATCGTACTTCTACATTGCTGATACTCTTCTTATGTACCAATTTGTCATCCAATTAATATCTTTAATTTCTATAACTAATATGTTTTATTTTTACATTTAAAATAATTACGATCGTATATATGGTATGTAGCACTCAAACACACAACTGCATCATCCGTTATTGGATTACTATAAATCTACTTGTTAACCTGTTAAAGGTGCTTTGCAATGTTCACAAAGGTCTGGTTCTCAATTACAATCCAAAGGCGTAAAATTAATCTAACAAATACATATGTACATGTAGTAAATATTTCATCTGATAACAATTGTAAGAATATTTTTTTATATATGAGTCAAAATACTTTTAGAGAGCAAATTGCATACAATTCTGCTTCCAAAACTCGAACTTCTATAACTCGAATTTCTCTATAACTCGAACAAAAACTTTGTTTCGTGTCGATAGAAATATGGGAAAGTGCATTCTATAAATCGAATTTTTGTTTTAAGTATAAATGCATTTTGCTGTTAGGGGAAGTCCCTTTTTCCAAACCAAATGTTTCAATTTTTTTCTTTCTTATGTTGCTTCTTTGTGCAAATGTCAGTAGCTGGGAGCGTAATTTAAAGTAAATAAAATAACTTCCAATGCTACTCTTAACGTTTATATTGAGCTTGACAATGAAATTTGTACATCAAGCTTTCCACCACATGACGATATTATTGAGCACTATACCTCTAAATTACAAGATCCAATTCTAAGCGCCACTGAAAGTGATGATGAGGGTTCAGTGTATGTAATTGCTTATCAGACTTCCAAGCTTGGAGTAGAAGACTCATTCAATACTCTGAATTTATATTTGCAAACGAATGATACTACAACTGATGATCACTATAAGAGTATGAATAGAGTTATCTGAAGATAAGAAAAAAATTAAGGTCCCAAACACTAATTTCTGAATATTTCACTTCACTATAACTTCTGTACTTTATTTGATTGCAAAGAAATAAATATCTTAAAATGTAATTCTAATTTCTTTCAAAAATAAAAAAAAAATAAAAATTCTCCAACTCGAAATCTCCATAAGTCGAACCAATTCTTTGCAAAATTTGACTTCGAGTTATGGAAGTTTGACTGTATTTCCATATATCCTAGGAAAAGCATTTGGAATTAATTTCTACTAGTGTGAAAAAATAAAAAGTTAAGGGTTAAAATAAATAATGGACGAAGTATTGTGTCAACTAGAAATATTCTGATCTTCATTCGGAGTGCACAGTGACTTCATTTCGATAGTTTCGCCTTCTAGTATCGATCATGGTTGCAATCCAGTGTGGACACAGAGTGTTGACACATTTAAGTTCCAGTTCTACAAATTAATCTTACATTGCAAAGTGTGAGTTTATATAAATAAAAGTGTTTAATAAATTTCAGACATAAGTAAAGGAAAGACGCTTTAAATTACTAAATAACTTTTTAAATTAAGTTATTATCAAATATTTTTAAATCTAAATGTTTTAATGTTTCACATTGGAATAAACAAATATAGATTCACTTATATATTTTGTTCAAAAAGGGCAACCTCAATCAACCACAACTTCCATATACAAAAATGTTTGAACTGACAAAGACAAAGAAAGACAAGCAGTACGAGTCGCGCTGTATGGGTATTAAAGCGGGTATTTTCCCGATAATAAATTATTGCACCAAAATTTCGTTTTTCGTGAAGATGATTTAAAGTATTAAAGAAAACTTTAAACTACAATCTTTTAACATACACAATATAGTCATAAGCACATAAAGTTCTGTTTACTATGAAGGAAATTTAAAACAGAATTATTCTGCAACAAAGTAACCTTATCCAAGAAATAAATTTTAAAAAACAGAAAATTTTAAATTTATTTGTTACAAAAATTTATTTCTTATAATTAATACACAAATTTTCTTTCTATTTCTTCAATTTTTAGTTTTTTGGCCCTATTTTCAAAATTTCAGTATAAACTTAATTTTATTGTAGAACAAAATTTCTAAATAGGCAATAATGAGTACCGAACAAACAGTGTCTAAAAAGTACAACCACAATCTACCTTATCGCAAAGGTAAGCCTAAATGTTTTTCAATTAAATATACATTCTAAAATATTATTCATTCTATTCATAGTAAATCAATACCCGGAGAGTGCACATCTTGTCTCCCAACGTCAGAGAACAACAGAACAACAGGGTGAGTTTTTATACTACTTAAATATAGTACAGGAACTAACTTAGATCTTCTAGACATACCAACTCAACTGACAAGACACATAAAATGTTCTGAATACGTTAGTCACGTAAACAGTGATAGATGTTCTGAAATGGAGCAGAGTATTGGAAACACTATTATTTCACCTTCAATCACTTGCATTAAAAGAGGAAGAGTGAAAGAACTTCTGGAAAAATTTGAAAAAGCCAATTCACAAGAGTCAACAATAAATATTAGGCCCAATGCACAAGTCAGTGTTCATAGTAAATCAATACCCGGAGAGTGCACATCTTGTCTCCCAACATCAGAGAACAACAGAACAACAGGGTGAGTTTTTATACTACTTAAATATAGTACAGGAACTAACTTAGATCTTCTAGACACACCAACTCAACTGACAAAGCACATAAAAAGTTCTGAGTATATTAGTCAAGTTAACAGTGATAGGTGTTCTGAAATGGAGCAGAGTAATGGAAACACTACTATTTCACCTTCAATCACTTGCATTAAAAGAGGAACAGTGAAAGAACTTCTGGAAAAATTTGAAAAAGTCAATTCACAAGAGTCAACAATAAATATTAGGCCCAATGCACAAGTCAGTGTTCAAGAGTCTACAATAAATGCTGACAAAGGAAACCTAAAATATCATGGCAGTTCAAAAGAGGACATAATGCCATGCATGGGTTGCAACAAGGAATTCAACAACCCGAACGCTTTCAACAGTGAGCAGTGTATAGTTAATTCAGAAACTGGGTCTAATTGTGACAGTTATTCGGATTCGAATCTCATCACCAGGGAACAATTATTAGCTTTGACTGAAGAAAAGAAAAGAGAAATAAACAGTTTCAAAAAGAGATGCTAGAGTTGGTGCTAGTGTTGTTACTTTGGATTTAAATACTGTTGTACCATTTGAATTGCTTAAAATTTGTTCTAAAATTAAAGAAAATAAACTTGATTGGAAGGCTGATGTCTACTAATAGTTTTCTATCTTTACTATAGATCTCAACCCTATTGGCATAATAATTAATATTAAGCAAAGTAACCTAAATTATATGACACCAAATTTTTAATGCAATAATTTATTATGCATAATGCTAGTACTATTCTAATATATTCAATATATTTTCATTTTAATTCGAATTTTATTTTGATTTTTAATAAATCTAAAAAGAGAAACACACAGGCTATAGACAAATCGAGCAAACGAAACATAAAATACACAGAAACTTCTTCCGGTTTCTATCAAATGATTAAAAACTCGAAAATTTTCATTCTAGCGTATTTTGATCAGAATAATAATAATAATAAAAGGTATTCGTGAAAATTGCCCAACAGCCGGTACTGCGGCCAGAAGAGACCTATTGTACCAGTTTCACTATTGATTAAACAAAGCCCCTTAAAGCTTTGTGAATAAAGTCTAGAACTAAATCTAGAGAAGAGTTCTTAATCTGTTCTGGTGACAGAAATTCCTTATGAAACAGGTTTCTTCTGTGCGTTATTAAAGCTGGACAGTCACAAAGAATGTGCATGGTTGTTTCCTCATCTTCGAGGCATAATCTGCATTCCGAGTTAGCAGATAATTGTAGTTTATGAAGGTGATATTTCAGACCATAATGCCCTGTAATGAAACCCGTTATCATCCTTAAATTACATTTTGAGAATTTAAGAATGTTTTTGTAGGAGTAAGGTGTTATCAGTGCTTTGCTTTGTCTGAGTCCTGGAAAGTTTACCCAGTACTCTAGCCGCATATGATTTTCCATTTCCTTGATAATCTGTTTTGTACTAGCCCAGTTTATTCCACAAAAGGGTTGAGGGCCTATAAAAGCAGTTTTTGATGCATTTCTGGCAAGCTCATCAGCTTTTTCATTTCCCAAAACTCCTCTGTGGCCCGGAACCCAGTAAAGGTTTACCTTATTCCGAGCTGCAAGTGATTGCAGAAGATCGTAACACTCAAGGACCTGTTTTGATTTGAAAGTCCAAGAAGAAAGAGCTTTAAGAGCAGCCTGGCTGTCAGAGTAAATAACAATTTTCGAGCCAGAAGGTTTTTTGATTAAATTGGATCTTACGCATAAGTTGATTGCGTGGATTTTGATCAGAATAATGTATTTGTAATTAATTAATCTTTAATTACTACACTAACATAAATAAGCATAATGGATAAGATGCATGGAGCAGATTTCCAAAACAGATCCAACTGATCCAACTGAAGAATCTTCTTGTATTAGAAATCGTACTTCTACATTGCTGATACTCTTCTTATGTACCAATTTGTCATCCAATTAATATCTTTAATTTCTATAACTAATATGTTTTATTTTTACATTTAAAATAATTACGATCGTATATATGGTATGTAGCACTCAAACACACAACTGCATCATCCGTTATTGGATTACTATAAATCTACTTGTTAACCTGTTAAAGGTGCTTTGCAATGTTCACAAAGGTCTGGTTCTCAATTACAATCCAAAGGCGTAAAATTAATCTAACAAATACATATGTACATGTAGTAAATATTTCATCTGATAACAATTGTAAGAATATTTTTTTATATATGAGTCAAAATACTTTTAGAGAGCAAATTGCATACAATTCTGCTTCCAAAACTCGAACTTCTATAACTCGAATTTCTCTATAACTCGAACAAAAACTTTGTTTCGTGTCGATAGAAATATGGGAAAGTGCATTCTATAAATCGAATTTTTGTTTTAAGTATAAATGCATTTTGCTGTTAGGGGAAGTCCCTTTTTCCAAACCAAATGTTTCAATTTTTTTCTTTCTTATGTTGCTTCTTCGTGCAAATGTCAGTAGCTGGGAGCGTAATTTAAAGTAAATAAAATAACTTCCAATGCTACTCTTAACGTTTATATTGAGCTTGACAATGAAATTTGTACATCAAGCTTTCCACCACATGACGATATTATTGAGCACTATACCTCTAAATTACAAGATCCAATTCTAAGCGCCACTGAAAGTGATGATGAGGGTTCAGTGTATGTAATTGCTTATCAGACTTCCAAGCTTGGAGTAGAAGACTCATTCAATACTCTGAATTTATATTTGCAAACGAATGATACTACAACTGATGATCACTATAAGAGTATGAATAGAGTTATCTGAAGATAAGAAAAAAATTAAGGTCCCAAACACTAATTTCTGAATATTTCACTTCACTATAACTTCTGTACTTTATTTGATTGCAAAGAAATAAATATCTTAAAATGTAATTCTAATTTCTTTCAAAAATAAAAAAAAAATAAAAATTCTCCAACTCGAAATCTCCATAAGTCGAACCAATTCTTTGCAAAATTTGACTTCGAGTTATGGAAGTTTGACTGTATTTCCATATATCCTAGGAAAAGCATTTGGAATTAATTTCTACTAGTGTGAAAAAATAAAAAGTTAAGGGTTAAAATAAATAATGGACGAAGTATTGTGTCAACTAGAAATATTCTGATCTTCATTCGGAGTGCACAGTGACTTCATTTCGATAGTTTCGCCTTCTAGTATCGATCATGGTTGCAATCCAGTGTGGACACAGAGTGTTGACACATTTAAGTTCCAGTTCTACAAATTAATCTTACATTGCAAAGTGTGAGTTTATATAAATAAAAGTGTTTAATAAATTTCAGACATAAGTAAAGGAAAGACGCTTTAAATTACTAAATAACTTTTTAAATTAAGTTATTATCAAATATTTTTAAATCTAAATGTTTTAATGTTTCACATTGGAATAAACAAATATAGATTCACTTATATATTTTGTTCAAAAAGGGCAACCTCAATCAACCACAACTTCCATATACAAAAATGTTTGAACTGACAAAGACAAAGAAAGACAAGCAGTACGAGTCGCGCTGTATGGGTATTAAAGCGGGTATTTTCCCGATAATAAATTATTGCACCAAAATTTCGTTTTTCGTGAAGATGATTTAAAGTATTAAAGAAAACTTTAAACTACAATCTTTTAACATACACAATATAGTCATAAGCACATAAAGTTCTGTTTACTATGAAGGAAATTTAAAACAGAATTATTCTGCAACAAAGTAACCTTATCCAAGAAATAAATTTTAAAAAACAGAAAATTTTAAATTTATTTCTTACAAAAATTTATTTCTTATAATTAATACACAAATTTTCTTTCTATTTCTTCAATTTTTAGTTTTTTGGCCCTATTTTCAAAATTTCAGTATAAACTTAATTTTATTGTAGAACAAAATTTCTAAATAGGCAATAATGAGTACCGAACAAACAGTGTCTAAAAAGTACAACCACAATCTACCTTATCGCAAAGGTAAGCCTAAATGTTTTTCAATTAAATATACATTCTAAAATATTATTCATTCTATTCATAGTAAATCAATACCCGGAGAGTGCACATCTTGTCTCCCAACGTCAGAGAACAACAGAACAACAGGGTGAGTTTTTATACTACTTAAATATAGTACAGGAACTAACTTAGATCTTCTAGACATACCAACTCAACTGACAAGACACATAAAATGTTCTGAATACGTTAGTCACGTAAACAGTGATAGATGTTCTGAAATGGAGCAGAGTATTGGAAACACTATTATTTCACCTTCAATCACTTGCATTAAAAGAGGAAGAGTGAAAGAACTTCTGGAAAAATTTGAAAAAGCCAATTCACAAGAGTCAACAATAAATATTAGGCCCAATGCACAAGTCAGTGTTCATAGTAAATCAATACCCGGAGAGTGCACATCTTGTCTCCCAACATCAGAGAACAACAGAACAACAGGGTGAGTTTTTATACTACTTAAATATAGTACAGGAACTAACTTAGATCTTCTAGACACACCAACTCAACTGACAAAGCACATAAAAAGTTCTGAGTATATTAGTCAAGTTAACAGTGATAGGTGTTCTGAAATGGAGCAGAGTAATGGAAACACTACTATTTCACCTTCAATCACTTGCATTAAAAGAGGAAGAGTGAAAGAACTTCTGGAAAAATTTGAAAAAGTCAATTCACAAGAGTCAACAATAAATATTAGGCCCAATGCACAAGTCAGTGTTCAAGAGTCTACAATAAATGCTGACAAATGAAACCTAAAATATCATGGCAGTTCAAAAGAGGACATAATGCCATGCATGGGTTGCAACAAGGAATTCAACAACCCGAACGCTTTCAACAGTGAGCAGTGTATAGTTAATTCAGAAACTGGGTCTAATTGTGACAGTTATTCGGATTCGAATCTCATTACCAGGGAACAATTATTAGCTTTGACTGAAGAAAAAAAAAGAGAAATAAACAATTTCAAAAAGAGATGCTAGAGTTGGTGCTAGTGTTGTTACTTTGGATTTAAATACTGTTGTACCATTTGAATTGCTTAAAATTTGTTCTAAAATTAAAGAAAATAAACTTGATTGGAAGGCTGATGTCTACTAATAGTTTTCTATCTTTACTATAGATCTCAACCCTATTGGCATAATAATTAATATTAAGCAAAGTAACCTAAATTATATGACACCAAATTTTTAATGCAATAATTTATTATGCATAATGCTAGTACTATTCTAATATATTCAATATATTTTCATTTTAATTCGAATTTTATTTTGATTTTCAATAAATCTAAAAAGAGAAACACACAGGCTATAGACAAATCGAGCAAAGCGAAACATAAAATACACAGAAATTTCTTCCGGTTTCTATCAAATGATTAAAAACTCGAAAATTTTCATTCTAGCGTATTTTGATCAGAATAATGTATTTGTAATTAATTAATCTTTAATTACTACACTAACATAAATAAGCATAATGGATAAGATGCATGGAGCAGATTTCCAAAACAGATCCAACTGATCCAACTGAAGAATCTTCTTGTATTAGAAATCGTACTTCTACATTGCTGATACTCTTCTTATGTACCAATTTGTCATCCAATTAATATCTTTAATTTCTATAACTAATATGTTTTATTTTTACATTTAAAATAATTACGATCGTAT